CCCCCCCCCCCCCCCCCCCCGAAACCAAATTTTTACTATAAATACGTTACAAACTGTTTACTTTTTCAACGAATTGAATCACATAATTTTTTTGAAAATATGACGAATGAAATAACCTCTAGCATCCGGCATGGAAACAACAAAATTTTGGCCAGACCATGAAATGTTTCTGCAAATTTTTCAGCTTTCTTGCAGTCTTGAAAATAAAATTTATGTGCGGGTATATAGAAAAATTATCAGAGTTTAATGTGGTGTAATTTTTTATCATGTTTGTTTTACTTGTGCGAAGTATTTTGCGTTTTGCCGAAGTCGTATATTCGTCAGTTGAGATATAGTTGCCAACCTTAGGTATGTTCTATATATATATGAACAATGCTTTTCATTGAGTGCTTGCGGCGCGCAACAAATAACAGAGGAATGGCGCGAGCTTAATCTAAATTGGCATTTGGAAGCATTTGGTGCATTCTACACGCCGTTTTGGGCTGCCTATGCATAAAGATGCAAAAAGGGGCACCACTAGGATGCAATACCAGGGATATGCTTGCACGCATGCTGACTCCATTTATCTAAATTTTGAAGACGGTAAATATTTTCCGGGAATTCAAAAAATTTTCTGGGAGTATAATGGTCCCGTGATCCTATACTTTCCCATCCTATCACTGATACAACGATGAGGTATGATTCTTCACGGCGGGAATTGTATATATTAACCTGCGATCAGGCCTTTATTTTTCTAGTAGCGAGCTGGCGCAGAAAAAAGAAGGCCTGATAAAAAAGGTTACTAAATGTTCGTGTTCACCAACAGCCTGTACGGTTTTAGGTCTGATTGGCTTTATCTAGCATGAATATCACGCCATATTTAACGTATTGTTTTGATTGGTTAGTGCTTACTGCTAATTAGGTAACGATGTATCTAGTGGTTGTAACTATTGCTAGCTTGTTGTATTGTTGTTATATGACATTGAAATTTCTCCTGAGACATTTTGGTTGTATACTAAATATAAAACAATTGCGTAGGCGGGAAGCAACCGGATCAAGGCTTGTGCCAGGTTAGATGATCCCAGGTTAGAATTGTATCGCCTTTTTGAGCTATTCGAAAAATTTACTTACATAATTTGTCTTATTTCTTCAGGACCTATGCTTGGCAGCGTGAATCCTATTTGTGTCTTTGTGTCACTAACAGAAGTGTCAACAGGTTTTGTGTCACCACCAAGCGCTAAAAATAAAAAAAGAAATAATGTCAACCTTGTATGGTAGCAGCGTAGAGGGAAAATCCTGGGTACGCGTGGTTGATAATGCATCAAGGTGGTTTTCCACTAGATGGGATTTTTCGATCGAACCGAAATTTCTATTGTTCAAATTCAAAAGATTTCTGTTTAGTTCCATCTGATTGGTTGTAAGACAAAAGAAAATTTCGATTCGGTCGAAATATTTCGCCCAGTGGAAAACCGCCTTTACTATAGATTAACAAGCGTATTCACGAAGGTCGACCGGAAGTAAAGTGAGATGGCGACAGCCGTTCTTTAAAAAAAAAGAAAGTCGTTCAATCGATCTTGTTTGAAATCACGAACGTAAATCCGCATTGACTGTCATTCTTGATGTGAAGCACGAACAGCAGACGCCATAATTAATAATGGTAATTGAACTGAGTGGAGTGCAAATTGGACTGAAATCAAACGCGTGATTTAAAATTTAAAAAATGATGAACTAACTTTTTATTCATGTCTATAAACTGCTGCCCGTCTAGTGTATTTTTTGTTTGTTTCAAATACCGTAAATCACTAAATAGCCATGCTTTTGTTTACAATTTGGCATTAAAATTCCTCGCCATCTTTTTTGTGCCCCACGCATGCGCAGGCGTGTTCCCGCGGTGTTCTGTAGCTATCCATATTTGTTGTTTTTATGCGCAAAAAATGCTTAATTTTAAATCATTCATGACATGTAAATTTTTTGTTTTTTCTCGTTTGCCATATCACATATTTCTTAAAATTGATTGGCTGTTTGAATCCTATGAATAATATGATGCTTGTGATGTTACTCTGAGTGTATATCCACACCGGGCGAGCTTGAAAAATATGCCCGGCCACGGTGGGAATCGAACCTACGACCTTTGGAATACTAGCCCAATGCTCTGCCAACTGAGCTACGCGGTCAGGACAGTTCGAGTAAGTGATATTTCGGAACAGAATCTAGTTCCTTCGATACCAATGTAATGAACCGTCCTGACCGCGTAGCTCATGTTGGCAGAGCATTGGGCTAGTACTCCAAAGGTCGTAGATTCGATTCCCACCGTGGCTGGGCATATTTTTCAAGCTCGCCCGGTGTGGATATACACACAGAGAAACATCACAAGCATCATATTATTCACCTGAGTACACAACACCAACACAGAAAAATATCATATTACTAGATTACGTGGT